TCTCTCTCTCTCTCTCTCTCTCTCTCTCTCTCTTTCTTGACCGACCGACCGACCACTTAATCTCGCGTGTGTCTCGAACGTACCTCGCTAACCTCGTGTCTTTTTGATTTTTTTTTAGACGTAAAGAATATCAAACTGGAGGCTAGTCTGGAGGAGTGCCAATATCCGCTGGTGATAATGGAGTCCAAGGGCTCCGACGACGACGAGAAGCCGTTCAGCTCGAGGAGTCGCCGGAACGGGCTCAAGTGCACAGTCGACAGGCATATGTGTTCGCGCTGCTCGAAGAGCTACATACACGCGTGGCACCTGAAGAGGCACACGAAGTTCGAGTGCGGCCAGGAACCGAAGGTCCAGTGTCCTTACTGCGCCGTAAAGATGAAGCAACGCGGTCACGTGTACAGGCACATCCGCCAATGCCATCGGGGCAAGAATGTCTACGTGATCGACCTTAACTGAGAGAGGGTGCGCGCGCGACGAGATACCGACGAAATCAAACAAACCGGATACCATGGTTCCTAGGCACACTTTGCAACTTTCTTGACGTTCGCGTTCTATTTATATCTATTTTTTGATACTCACCGAAACGGGACTTGCTTCGCGACACCGTTCGACACCTCGACGATGTTTCGTTCTGCGCGAGAGAGTCCTGTCTCTTCTTCTCTTCTCTCCTCTTCTTTTCGCTGGGCGCTCGGTCACGCGAGAAATGTGACATATTTATTCGATTCGTTTTTCGTTCTTGTAAATTGCGCGAATTCGACAGAGATATGATGGGTTTGTAAATATTGTATCTTTATATAGACGTCGTATTCAGTTGTATCGCATTTGTTATATCACTTCGATGATAATTGTGTATTAGTCGTTATGCTCTTAGAAAAATTACTTCCTGAACACAGAATAAAGTACTACTATTATATTATTACTATTACTACTACTAATACTACTATTATTATTATCGCGTTTCGGTTTTCGGAACGTGCGCACTGGTAACACGATTATTACAATACCGATGTTGACGTATCTAGTCATCGCGATCAGAATTTGGATACGACATCAAGGGAGATGCGGCAGGCTTTTGACGTTTAAAGCGACTTTCAAAGTGACTCGATTGGTATTCTGTGGTATCCTGTGTCTCGCTATCTCGAAAAGACAAATAAATATGATATTTTCTCATTTAATCAAAATAAAGTTCATTTCTTTGATAAAAATCATCTACTATTGTTTGTTATTATGGCATGCAGCCAATTACGGCCGAATAAAACGAGCGTCTGCGTGCTCATTAGTTTACTACCTTGTGAAGGATGCCCGATTGTTACTTGTTTCAGCGGGATTTCGGCATCACCCTCTGAATTATTCTGACTCTGTGCATTCAATTTTAGGTCTGTCATTTCATCCGGCATCGACCACTGTTTCGAACGGGGTTGAGAGGACCGGTAAGAACATTGTTGCACTGTTTCATCATCCGACACGCTGCGATATCCCAAGTCCGTCATTGCATTTTGACAGCCCGCCCATTCCGATTTCGCGTGATTCGTTTGTGGATTCAAACCAATACCCATATCGATGTTCGATGAATGCCATTGTCGAGATCCGCAAGCGTGTCAAGGACAGTCGTCCCGATTGACAAATAGTGGTATTGGAAATTCGCAACTAATGCAAAATCCAATAGCGAACGAAACAAGAGGAAGATCGTTGATATGATGTTTTTTATATCCTCGCATTTTTCTACTGTATAAATTTAGTAGGGAATTTAGCAGTACAAATGTTTGTGCAACCATGACTTTATGAGATTGATATAAATAAATCTCCGGATAATCCCTCTCATTAGTCTGTCCTCGATGAATCTAAATTTACAGTTCCGGCATTATTCATAGACATAATTGTCACAGAACCAATTATTGGGCAATTTGTGCGATAAAAAGATTTTCCTTCATGTATTGGGGGATTCTTCTAATTTTTCGAAAAATAATGAATGGTTCGTTAAGAAGTTTAGTAACTTTCAATTTGTCATGTATTTTGTACTCTGAAGAATTGAACGTTCGAATTTTGATATATGGGTTGTTCGATAAGTTCATAAGGATTTTTACGAAAGGTTCAAAGTCGCTACTTTTACAGTTAGGTTTTACTCAATTTTACTCAATAATGTATTGATTGCTTTTCCGGTGACTCGCTATTGAAAAAGAAAAAAAAACGAAACAAATATTAAAGTGTGCCTAATTGTAAAAGAAAATCGGTTTTGAATTTTTTGCAAATATTTGTACACGAATCTGTCGAACAATTCAATAGTTTAGGCAAGATGAATGGATGATCGGTTTCGCAACCCAAAGTTTCGACAAATTAATCGAAAAAATCTGCCTGCTCCAAGATCCGATTCCCTAGAGACACGAGACCAGCTTTCTCGAAAATTCTCAAGTCCCACGGAGTCGTTAACTCGAATCCAAATATTCAAGGAACAAATGTGGGCGACTTTGCCAATTAATTCGGAGGATTGGAGATAAACGTA